TGGCTTCCAAACCAGAAAACTCAGGTTCTCTACTTAAAGGTAGTTAATTTCAATCCTGATTTTATTCTCAGACAGGTATCTTACTGAATCATGTACAGATTCCACTATAGAAATAACTACAATTTGCAACTTAATTCTAACACTATACAAAAGTGTGATCTGAACATTCCTATGTTCACACTTCAGACTATTTGGCCACCACCTGTTTTGACACTGTAAGAAATAAATGGAGTACCTTATTTTATTTCCTGCACTGTTTAGTATCAAAGCCTGGCCTGTTACATGCCTGGCCTAAACTAGTAATGTAAAACTGGCGGCCTACGAAGCATAGCTGCACTCTGATGGGGAAAACCAAGACAATCATAAAGCAAGCAGTGTGTTATTTCAGACAAATAGTGCTGGTGGACCCCTCAAGAGTTGCTTGGTTACACAAACGTCAGAGCAAGTTATGGGTGTATAACCAAATTATGTTTCTGTAGAGAAAGCTGTTACAACAGTTATTTATACAAGGATTAACAAGTTTCAGATGACATCTCTGAAGATATGACATTGACTTCACCAGTACTCTAATAGTTTCCAAAGAGAACTGGACCACAGCTAGTATATTTCATTTAAGCTGCCATCATTACATGCAAGGTTAGTTTCTATAGAAACATCTTGCTGGACACCTTGCTAGTACTTGTTCTCAGACTTTTGGCAGGCTCTATCAATCTGCATGATCTTCACTTTGACACAGTTCCTTAACAGGAACACACAGAGAGAAATGTTTGCTACCCAAATAATGTAGTTTTGTTATGTTCACTAGGTATTTTTGAGCTTCACAATGCAGTCTGCACATCACAGTGTTTCCCAAACCTGTGAAAGTGGGTTGCAGGCCAGCCCTCCCTAATGGCTGCCCCTGCCCTTTCCATTACTTTCTTTTGTATTTTGGAAACAGTATCTTCCATGTTATACATTACTTGGTATTTTTTCCTCATTGTGTATACATGTTGATCAAATAAAACATGTTCTGATGGTTACTAGAGTGAGTTTCTTAGACACTTAGGGGGGATTAGAAGGAGTCATGGAGAAATAAAAGGTTGGTCAAAGGCTAGAAAGTAACCTCCATATGCAAAGGTTGTATATGTTGGAATGCCACTTGCTTGGGTTTTATAGTGGGGAAAGCTGTGCCCTTTGGACAATACCTGTTGGTTTCTCCAAAACAGCGGTTAGCCACGGTAGAAAATGGAATGCTGAACTAGATGGGTGCCAAGGTCACACTTTGCCTAGGGCACCAAAAAAACTTGGGCCAGCCCTGGATGGGTTCCCATACCAAGTAAATTTGGACTTGTGGGTCACCATGCCAAAATGCTGGAAACCACTACCATAGCCAAATTAGGCTCCAAAGGTTCCACCAAGACTATCACAATGCCTGGACTGTTTCTTTGTAAGCACAAAAATTAATGTGCAATATGATAAAGACCAATTAAAACACTGATCCACAAGACATTTGAGAGGGACAAAAATGGCAGGGGTAGGGGTTGGGAGCTGTTACTGTCCCAGTATTTTGGATATATTTACACTCCCTGGGTCTCCCATGCATTTTTATTTCAAAACCCAGGAGTCATGTGAAACCTTCTTGCACTACTACCGTTACAATTCTGTAAAGCAGCAGAACCCTTATAAAAGTGTTCTTGTTTTGCAATACTACATTAGGAAGGAAGAAGTCATTTAATACATCTGATTACATAGAAAAGTTTTTGCTTGCATTTCAGGAATATCAAACATAAAACTTCACAAAACTGTACTGCTTCGGCAGAGAGAATAAAACCAGGCTTCTAAAAAAGCATCCCTTTTAAATAAAATCTAGTTTAAACATAAATTTGAATATGGGCAAGTTACAGTACACATTTACCAACTCTTATAACAGAATCCTGAAAAATAATCTTAGGAGAAAATAATTACTGAACTTATTTTTAGTTCTCTTTTGGACAAAGAGCAGAAGTGTGGATGAGCTTGCAGCTTACACCATTAAGTGGTCTTGTTTAGTGTCCTGATTACATACAAAAAAATTCCATCAGCTACAATTCTACATAGATCAAGGTTTTGAATTATGCTCTAAGGTATACAAAGGCACCAACTATTACAATAACCTCTTAATATGAATACTTCCTGGCAGAGAGGATTTATCCTCTGGTTAAACATCTGAACTGAACAGAGTTGCTGTCAGTTGCTGTCACACCCGCGCTGGTGTGAGCTACCAGCCTTGACCCCAGCTCGCCGTCCACCCAGCAGTTCGAAAGCTTCGGCGAGTAGATAAAATGGGTACCACTCCTTAGAGAGGGTGGGTACACTAAACCCCCGTAAGGGAGGTGTTAGCCGGTGAATGGAATGTCCAGCTCAGAAGCCTGGAAAAAAGACCTCTTCGGCATTAAGAAGCCTGTGATGGGCCAATCCGGCCAGGCGGTGGCAGTGTGGTGCTACAACTCAAAAAGCAGCCCAGGAAGAACCAACATCATCAAGCCAAGCCGAAGTGAATGCTGTTCGGAACACGTCTGAAGCTCTCAGCTGAACAAAATCCCCGTCGGCTGCAAATGTGTGCGATTAAAAAAATTATATGTTGTCCTCCCTTACCCCTATGAAATTGTTAGTCCCTTGTGTGAAACCTGTGTAACTGTAAATCGCTCAGAGCCAGCAGCTCTGCAGGATTGAGCGACCAATAAATCAAAAGGTATTATTATTATTACTTATTTGGAAAATACAAGAATTTTACAATGGGGTCCAACCAATATGAGGAAATATGACGTTTTGACTATCAAAGCCCATATTGTCTATGTAGCAATAAGCTAAAAATAATAGCTAATTTGGAACATACTGAAGCTTATACAAACTGTTTAGCCAAAGAGGCATATATGCTGTTTAGGAAGGATCCAAGTTCTTACCTATTTTTACAGTTGAGGTTAAGGGGCACATTATTCAACATGACAATTTACTGTAGTAACAAAGAAAATTGGAGATAAAATTTGAAACATCAGCATTTTCAGTCAGTAAAATTTTTATGTAATTTGACGGCATTCATAGAAAGGCACTGAAGATACCTAAAATGCTTCAGAGCTTTACCCAAATGTTATACAACTGCAAACATCCTTCTTGTGGTTATAACCCCTCTGAAATATTGGGAATTACTTCTGAACTATATACAGTCAGAGGCAGTCAGTTAGATGTACCTGCTGTGTGAGGTAAAGAGGCAGGCTTGAATCACCAGCAGCACCTTAAAAAAAAAAAGGTTCCATCCCTGATCTGTTGCCAGAGACCCGGTTTCAAGGATTCACTTTGTTCCTCAAAAGAGCTGTCAGTGATCCACCCATCTTTGGCCCCCCTTCACTATTTAAGCAACCAGTAAATATCAGCTAAACGGAGAGAAACGTGTCTTTCCCCACCACGTTGACAACAGTCCATCAATATTGCAGTGTAAATCCAGATGGCCAGCCCTGTTAGTTTCCAGCAGAAGTCCAGAGGCACCCTTAAAAACTAACCATAAATAGAGTAATTTTTTAGGTGCCACTGTTGGTACTCTGCCGGTATACAAGGTCAGTTCACTCTCTAGGGCTACTGAAACCAGTGGCTTCAGTGGAATTATTCTGCTCAGGACTGCGCTGTTAAGTCTTCTAGTTGTGGGACGGCAGCAGCCTAGCCTACGTTTAACACGAAGGGAGTTCTGACGACATAACAGTCCACCTTTCCTTCCTACACCACCATGCCCTTAAAGATCAGCTTTGAACTCCTTGGAGCAGGAAAGGGAGAACGATGCTGCACAACTAGCAGGGGAAGGAAGGGAAAGGAAAAGAGGAAGGAGGAACGAAGGAGAGAGGGCGAAGAGTGCCCGTGGGGACACACACACACACACAAAAGCCCCGGAAAGGGGGGGCCGAGAGTCGGAACGGGTGGCAGGAGATTAAAGGGAGTCTGAGGGCGAAGGCGGGTCCGGAGACTCCGCTAGAAAAAGGCAACCCAGGAGGGGTGCGCGAGAGGCGGGGTACCCCAAGGAGTAAATGGGGACGGCTCTAGGGAGTTGAAAATTATTTTAAAAGATATGAGGAGGAAAAGAAGGAAAGCCAACACACACACACACACACGCCCACTACCGGGAGGAAGGGGGCTAGCTGCGAGGGAACGAGGGGGTTCCCGGCCAAAGCGCGCTGAGTGAGGCAAAGGAACAGAAGGCAGACAGCGGCGGCTACCCAGTCGGACGGCTTGGATACAATGGGGGGGG